TCTCACAAATTTTGTTTTGATTTCAAGTCTAGATCGGTTCACAATACGGTTTTGATTCCGAATCTGGCTCTGATCCCAAATCCGGTTCCGAGTCAGATTGTGATTTAGATTCTAATTCTTACTCTGATCATAAATTCGATTCCAAATTAGAGTCCAGCTTTAATCATATTTCCGGTTCCGAGTCGGATGTTTATTCTATTTCCAACTTTAGATCTTAACTTTAATCGTGTTTAGATTTTAAGTCTAGATCGGATCACAAATATGGTTTCGATTACAAATCCGGCTCTGATTAAATATCTGGTTCTAATTCAGATTTTGATTCTAATTCCAAGTGCGGCTCTTATCTTAAATCCTTTTTAGATTTTAAGTCCAGATTAGTTCACAAATACGGTTTCGATTACGAATCTGGCTCTGATTACAAATCCGGATCTGAGTCATATTCTGATTCTGATTTCGAGACCGGCTCTTATCTTATATCCTGTTTTGATTTCAATACAAGATCGGTTTATAAGTACAGTTTCGATTCCCAATCCGTCTTTGATCTCAAATCCGGTTTCGAGTCAGATTGTGATTTAAATTCTAGTCCCCCTCCGATCATAAATCCGGTTGCGATTTAGAGTCCGGCTTTAAATATATATTCGGTTTCAAGTCAGATTTTGATTCTGATTCCAAGTCCGGCTCTTATCTTAAATCCTGTTTAGAATTGAAGTCCAGATCAAATCACAAATACGGTTTCGAATACGAATCCGGATCTAATTACAATTACAGTTCCGAGAAAGATTTTGATTCTAATTCCGAGTCCGGCTTGGATCCAGAATCCAGTTCTGATTTAAAGTCCAGATCGGATCGCAAATCTGGTTCCGAGTCAGATTTTGATTCTGATTCCAATTCCGGCTCTTCTCTGAAACCCTGTTTTGATTTCAATTCCAGATCGGATCCCAAATCCGGTTCTGAGTCAGATTTTATTCTGATTCCAAGTCTGGCTCTTATCTTAAATCCTTTGCAGATTTTAAGTCCAGATCAGATCACAAATACGGTTTCGATTACGAATCCGGCTCTGATTACATATCCGGTTCTGAGTCAGATTTTGATTCTGATTCCAAGTCCGGCTCTTATCTTAAATCCAGTTCTGATTTCACGTCCAGATCGGACCACAAATCCGGTTTTGATTCTGAATCCGGCTATGGTAACAAATCCAGTTCCGTGTCAGATTGTGATTCCGATTCTGACTCTCCCTCCAATCATTAATCCGGTTCCGATTTCAAGTCTTGTTCGTATCACAAATTCGGTTTTTATTCCGAATCCGGCTCAGATCACAAATACGGTTCCGATTTCAACTCCGGCTCTGATCCCAATTCCGGTTTCGAGTCAGATTTTGATTCTGATTCCCAGTCCGGCTCTAAGTCAGATTTCGGTTCCGAGTTCAACTCCGCAGTCTGGGCCACATTTCACTTTTGACCACTGTCTGA